GCTCTTCCCTGTTTTCTTGATTTCTTGACCAATTCTTCTCGGCTTTAGGATTTGGAAAAACATAAATGTCCCCAAAAACGCCCAGCAGAATTGCCCACGGAAAGACAGCTCCTCCCTAAGGGAAGAGAAGTCTTCAGACTCCAATTCCAGATTCTTTCTGCTATACGAGAAGACCCAGCGAGGAGCCTGGCTGGTGAGAAGTGAGGGTGTGAACGGAACCCACTGAGGGAAGAGTGTGCCAAGGTACTGAGCCCTGGAGACTTGAATTTAGCATCTGAGATCCAGAGAGAAGCCACTTTGGAACCTGGCAAGGGCAGATGGAGATGGGAACACACAGGAATAACACAGAGGAGAGAAGTTAAGGAAGGAGCAGTCAGCAGTGCCAAACAGAGAAAAGACGTTCAAAAGGTGAGTGATTTAGCAACCAGGAGGTAAATGACGGTCTCTTCAGAGGGCACCAGATCGCAGGGTTAGACAAGCAACAGAGGTACGGAGAGAGAAAGATCAGCTGGATGAAATGCACGTTTTTTTCAAGAGCATGAAGATGTGAATTTCTGACGTTAAAAAAAAAAAGGAAAGCTCAGCTTGGTGCTCTGTGACGACCTAGATGGGTGGGATGTGGGGGGCGGGGTGAGGGAGGTCCAAACGGGAGGGGATATAGGTATACATAGAGCTGACTCACTTCATTGTACAGCAGAAACACAACATTGTAAAGCAATTATACTCCAATAAAAAAAAAAAAAAAGGTAGTCAGTAATTGGCGTGATTACTCAATAGTACATGAGAGCTCTCTGCATATAAGAAACAGGACACCTCTCAGGCTGGTCTCAGAGGGATCTCATCCAACTCCTACGTGACTGGTGTCTTTATTGCCAATGGCCGTCACATTCCTCTCCAGACCAGACCAGACCAGACGTCCCCACTCGGTTCACACAACCTGCCGCAGACGCCTGGAGGGATCCCCAAATTGTGTGTGCCAGAGCCGGCCCCATCTCCTCCCTGGCTCTGCTGCTCTCTGGACCTCTCTCTTTCCATTTTGTTTGTTTCAACGTGTTATTGCAGAAAAGAGTCAAACATATTCAAAATCACAAAGAACAGGAAAACCCACCCCACGTATTCATCATCCAGCTTCAACAATTATCCAACACAAATCCCGTCCATTACAGAGTCTAATTACTTAATTCCTTCTGTGTCCCCCCGTCACCAGCCCGTGTCATTTCCGTCTGAACCACTCTAACAACCTAACTGGTACACTAGCAACTATTCTTCCTTTTAATCCATTTTCTACATGGTAGCGATTTTGTAAAAAAAAAATCTGATCTTGTCAGTGTCCGGTTTTATTATAACCCTTCTCCTGGTTTCGTCTTGCTCTTCGGATTAAGGTGTATCATCAACCTGGCCTTCGAGGTCTCCCATGGTCTGGCCAGTCCGGGCCCACTCTCGCAGGTTTACCTTGTGCCCTGTCCCCTCTTCTTGTCGTAGCAGACTTCCTGGTGGCCAGGACAGGTTTCTGCTCTGTCTAGGACCCCTACCTGGCCCAGGCAGCTCCAACTCTTCTACTGGTCTCCAGTATTTTCAGGGAACCTCCCTGAGCTTCCAGGACAGGCCAGGCTTCCCTGTTACATGAGCTCACCATCCCTGTGAGCTGTGTCCAAGGGCGGCCTCCCTCGCCGGGCGCGAGCTCAAGGGGCTCGCCAGACTGTGCGCCTGCCTTGCCTCCTGCACTTCACAGACTCATTCTGCAATGGCCAAATCAGGAACAACCACAATCATAACTGAATTACTACCTTTTATCCCACATGTTTCCACTAACAGGATTAATTCTAAAAGCCCGTCTCACAGAGAGAAAACACACTTTAGGAGCCGGACATAACTTGCATCTTACCCTTAGTTAAAGCAGGGAGGTGTGTGGGGCACGCCCAGAGGAGTGAGGCCAGTACCTCACGGGGAGCTGCTGCACGTCACACAGGATTTCTCGGGGTCACTTGTGATCCTAAGGAACACTGTAATTCTGCCTCAAGAGGATACGGGGGCCACAGGCCTGGGGCCTCCACCTCACGCACGTGCATCGCGCTCTCAGCCTGTGCGGCCTCCAGGGCCCCGGGAGGCACCCGGCCTCCTGTCCTCGCGGGGGACAGGCGGAGGCAGCACAGGCCACCCGGGGCCTTGTTCCACAAGGCCGACGTCCCCACCTCGGGGCTGCTTCTCTTCAAGAAGGGAAAGAAATGTGTCTCAACTGACGAGGACACACCACGCCATCGTTCGGGGTCAGTGGACCTCTTCTTCCCCATAAGCATTAGCACTTCCCCTTTGGAGTCACATCATCTCCAAGCAAAACACAGAGAAGCAAAAGGTTCAGAAAATGAACAGTCCCAAACCACCGACTACACTCTGCCGATGACGTGCGGGAGCTTCAACCCCAGCCCGGGGCCCCATCACTCAG